CAGTTCCAGGGGATCTGATCTGATGCCCTCACACAGGCACGCACACAGGCAAAACATCAATCAATTCTCATAAAATTAAAATAAATAATTTTTTAAAAGGATGAAAATGCCTACTTTAAGGATATCCTATATCATGAATTTGTTGACATATGTATCAGATGGCAGTGGGAAATCAAGGACCCAGGACTGGAAAATGTTTATAAACTATAGACAGCTAGAAGGTTATCAGAATAAGACAGACAGATTGTGTGAGCTTTACATGAATGGACTTGGGAATTAAGAAGCATACATATTTAACAGGTATACAATATATAAATGATTCACTAAGATTTGTCATATATGCATTAAATCCTAATGCTTTCTTCAATCAATTTTAGAACTGGTAAGATTTTTAATTCCATTTCCCAAGAATGAAAAGGGTATATGCAAACTCTCACTGGGCATCTCTGGATTTAAACACGGTTCTAGGAGCAAGACCTCATTATCTCAGCCAAGGATATCCACAACACAGGTCTTAGGTGGGATAATGATTTCTTCATTGTAGCATTTTTTTCTGATTGGACCTAGATATGTACTTGATTCACTAGTAAGAGCTCCTAAAATGATATGTGTCTATAAGTTTCCCTGGTCAAAGTCCATTAGGAGACAGTATTAAGCATTTTTGTATATTTTTGGGTGTAAAATATCTTCAATGGTAAAACAGGCAAAGTATGAGTACAGAACAGTGAAATTCTAAGCATTCTATTTCAAATGGAATAAAAACAGACATTTGGACCCATTTTACCGAATTTGTGAAAGAAGAAGAAAAATCAAGCCCATTTAAGTCATGAGTTCTTTATTTAGTAAACATTTGTCTATCTATGGTAAACATGAAGGGTGTCTAAAAAGTCCTCTGCAGCATATGCCAGAACTGGAGTGTTGGAAATTGTCAAGAATCTTGCCATTTTTTTCATAAATTTCTTACTTTGTCATTTTCATCAAGTCTTCCTTGTCCTCATTCCTATTCTCTGTTCACTAGACTCAGCTTCTCTAATAATCCAGTTTGTTACTGTCAGGCCTCTGTTTAATATCCTCTTAGCACTGGAAATACGATCTACAAAGTTGGTAGAAATTTGGAGAAAATTCTTCTCAATGTGTATTCATTCTCTCTCTCTCCCTCTCTCTCTCTCTCTCTCTCTCTCTCTCTCTCTCTCTCTCTCTCTCCCCACATATTTCTGTGCAAACTCTTCCCTTCCCCTAGAAAACCCAACACCACCACTCCACTCTCTCACCACCTGAAACATTTAACCTCAGAGACAGGCTTCTAAAACCAACTGAATTTTCCAAGTCCACTTCAGTTTTACAAAAGGCTGCCCAGACTAATGAGCTCAACACACTCTCTCATCTATGACCAACCATGCCATCCATCCATATTATACTATTAGTTATACATCCTCTCTATTGCGGGAGACTGTGGGAGTCCAGCTCCTACCTTTCCCACCCTTTCTAGGGTTCTTAGGAGGAGGAGAGAGGGATAAGAAACTGTCAGATAGAAAGAGAGACCCAATTGACCAGAAGAAAGACAGAAACACAGGATAACTTCAGGAGGACCTGGATCACTACCCAACAGCCTTGAAGGTTTATTCAAAAGGCTTTTTATAACATGGCAAGGGGAGTGGCAAGAGACGTCCCCCTGGCAACATCAAAGCACACCATACAACCAAGTGTAGATCCTTCCAAACACCCGGTAAACATACCCCTGGCCAAATCATCTCCTTATGCAGGCCTGCTGGGTAAAGCAAGCTCCGATTCTCTGACCCTGAGTAACTTGGGCCTCCATACTCTATAAATCATGGTTCCATAGAGCAGCTTCCTCTGCCGTGTGTTCTTATCATGATGAACTGTTTCACTGCAGACCCAAAAGCCAACTGATCCTGCACTAAGCTGACAAAAGTGACTACAATAGCCATCTTGTGACCATGAGGAAAAGCAGGAATTTCAAATGTCCTTGTAACCCCGATTAATACCAGCAACTGCTTAAATTTTTTACTTCTCAGTCCATTAGGAAAATAAATCTTTTATGGGAAGATTCTAAGAAACAAGCTGATACTCATTTGCAATGAGTGTGATCATGAGTCAGCCATTTCTCCAAGTACCAATTTCTTCAGCTATAATTGTGAGTTCACCACCTATACTTGTTTAAGATTAGGTGGAATTCATGTCAAATGCCCAGTACAGAATGAGCAGTGACAAATATTAGTTATTGTATGTTGTCAGCTGCCATCCTCTGGCAGTTTTTCATCATATATTGAGAGCTCAACCAGTCAGTAGGCTCTTAAAGGCATATTATGCTACATTACATATACCTTCACAGAATGCACAGAATGGTATTTCTGGAGCTGGAGAGATGGCTCAGTGGTTAAAGTACTTGCTGCACTTCCAGAAGATGAAAGTTCAGTTCCCAGTATGCACTCACAACCACCTGTAACTCCAGCTCCAAGGGATATGATGCCCTCTTTGGGCCTCCATAGACATACACATCTTTCTTTTCAATAAGACAACAATTCCTATACAGTGAGGTTAAGACAATAATTACAATAAACTGGTGCATGAATCAGCACTATGAAACATTACCTTCACTACACATGTACAGAAGAATACCCAGCAATGGGCCAGTTGCTATTTAGAGGATCACAATGATTTGCAGGTTGAAGCAGGAGTATTTCACTGCAGAAACCAAACCTACCTAATAAAACACAGAAGCTGTATAGGAATCGATGCCCTATGCAGTTGCCAGTGGCTTGTCCTCACCTGCTAGCTGTCTCATGGAAAGGATCACCCGTATGATTTGTCCTACTAGAGGAGCTATCATAACTGATCTTTAAAGAGGAAGTACTTTTACGGGTTGCTATATATGGTTACAGTATATCTAGATAATCTTTATGTTTCTGTGATAAATTCCTGGTTACTGTTTTCCTAAAAATTGCAAGTTTTACAAACTAGCCCTTAGTTTAACAGTAAGGCAGACAATGACCTGAAAAGGTGAGCCTTTGAGCAGAAAACTGTAGGTTTCTCCTAGTTGTGTTGTTATGCACACTTCCGCAAAGCATGGGGGGGGGGTACATAAAGTTTGTCTTAAGCAACGCGACAACATGTTAATAGATAGACTCTTTGTTCATGCAATCCAAAACCAATTTAAGAAAAAATTATTTATAAACCCTACAAAACAAACAAGAATGCATTGTAATCATGCAAACACTCTATTTTATTCATTGGTGAACCCAGAGCACAGGGCCATTCAAGGGTCTATTTTTAAAGAGGGAAGGGCTGGAGCAATTTACCAACTAAACAGATCTGCCAAGTAGACACAGAGTGCTTTGAAATCAGATGAAATTTCAGCAAGCAAAAGAATTCCATTCATTCAGTCAGAAAACACACAATAGTATATCAAAGACAGAAAATACACAATATTTTCAATAGTAATTTTACAATAGTAAATCAAAGACAAAGAATACTTGTTCTTGGCGCTAGAGAGATGGCTCAGTAGTTATGAGCACTGGCTGTTCTTCCAGAGGACCAGAGTTCCCCATCACAACTTCCACATAGAATCTCTAATGGATCTGAAGCCCTTTTCTGGCCTTTGAGAGCACCTATACATACTGTGGCATACCATCCCAACATACACACACCTACACATAATATAAGCAAAATTTAACGGAAGTTTTGCAAAACACAAAATGCTATTTTGTTGTAGAGAAAAAAATGTAGTTTGGGGAAGTGGGGAATCTCATACTGGGGGTGAAAGAATACCTTTGTTGAGCAAGTAGCATTTAAGATATGAAGAGCTAGGCATAGTAGTCCATGCCTTTGGTGCCAGAACTAGAGGCAGAGGCAGGGACCTGTGATTTCAAGGATGATCCTGGTCTACATAGTGAGACCCTGTCTCAGGAAAACAAAACAAAAAGATACAAAAAGTGAAAATTCCTCAGTGTGTAGGAAAGAGGCTTTCAAAACAAAGGAGACACGGAGTTCAAAAGGTCTAAAGCAGGGTCTAAATATAATGCAGGTAACCTAGAAGGGAAAACACGCTGAAATGTCTCACGTCCTCTTTACCCTTTACCAGCTGGGTAACCTTTAGGCCGGCTTGATTGCTCTTCCATGTCTTTTAAGCTGAGGGTAAAGAGAGCTACTCTGTTATTTCAGAGAATAAAATGACGCTTAAGGGCCCACTTTGCCCCGGGCAGAGTGCCCCGGAGACTAGGCAACACGAGGCCGTGAGCCGAGGCTGTGAGCGTGCTCCGCCGTTCTGCGTGGGACCTCGGCGCATCAGAGGATGCTCCGCTCCGGTGAACCGTTTGGACAGCCCCCCACTTCGACACCACTACTGGAACGATCCAAGGCCCCAGGAAACCACCTGCGCTCCCTGACGACTTTTAGACAGAGGCCCCCCTTTTTAAAAGCTTGAGCTATCACCAGATGGTCCTCCAGGTGCCCGAGGCCCCTCCGGCGACCGTGCACAGCCTCAGCCTCACTGAGCAGCACAGCCGGGACCACCCTGCATTCAGGACCCGGACTGACGTCAGGAGCGTACAGTGCGCAAAGATGGCTGCCTGGCCCCGCCCAGGCCCCGCGCAGGCGTAGTTCGTGGCGCGGGCCGGAAGAGCTCAGAGGTGGGCGCGGTGCGGCCCCGGCCGGTGGCCCCGGGCGCGGTGGGATGCGCCCGGTGATGAGGAAGGGTCTCCGGAGGTTTCCGGGGAGAGAGCCGGGGGCCGGGGACCGAGGGCGCTCCGCCGCGGAAGGCGGGATTGTCCCCGACGTGCCGGCGAGGGAGCGGAGTTAGCAGGAGTCCGGCCGGGGCGCCGGGACGCTGCCTGGTGGGCGCAGAGCCGGCGGGGACGCGGAGCCGGCGGAGGCGCAGGCGGGGACGCTGCGGGCCGCGGACCCCTGCGGAGGGCAGTGCGCTGGCCGGCCGGGGGCTCGGGCTTCCCGCCAGCCAGCCCGAGGCGGTGCCGGGAGGGAGTGTGTCACTTCAGAAAGTTTAGGGAAGCCTCCTTCGAGGGACGCCGTCGTCTTTGTTGTGTTTTCTCCTTTGGGGTCACCTCTAGCTGCTGTGCCTTTCAGCCCAGCGCTCTCAGCCCCTGTAGACCGCCATCTGTCCTAGTGCGGGGTGATCAGCCAAGGTGTACGTGCCCCTGGTGTAAAGCGTGGCATAGAAGGGCGTTTCCGAAGGAGAGTTCTGACCTGCCAGGAGACAGGGAAAGTACCACTTGAAAAACCACTTCCCTTGTTCGGAAGGGGGATGGTGAAATGGGCGGCCTTCCAGTGAAGGAAAGACCATGAGTTTCCAGTTGGTTCTCATCCTTGGTTGCCTTTCTGTCAGTGTGTGTGTGCACACGCATAAAGGATGGTATTCCTGTTTTGAAGTTTTAGATAGTCTTTTTTTCTGTCTGTTAAAATGTACACTAGCCTTAGTACCAACTGCTTGTTTAAATTCTGTTTAAGGTTAGAACTTGGGTGGAGATAGAAAATACCAGGTGTTGAGTTTACCTGATCCATAGTATTTTGGATGAATCTGGTAAATGCAAAAAACAAAACACAAGGTCATTAATACAAATGAGTTTGAGTGCATTTTTTCACACTACACATGAAACTGTCAGTTTTCTCTTCTGAGAGAATCAGTGGGTTGTTGCAGTACTAAAATGATCAAATCTCATAGCTGAACACATGGGAAAAATAACTTTTTATTATTTAGCAGAAAACTTATAGCCCAGCTTTGATTAAAGATGACTTCCTTGTTCACTCAAGAAGTTCACCTTTCTAAAAGACATGAAGAAATGTAAGTTTTTTTTTTTTTTTTTTTTTTTTTTTTTTTTTTTTTTTTTTTTTTTTTTTTTTTCCGAGACAGGGTTTCTCTGTGTAGCTTTGCGCCTTTCCTGGAACTCACTTGGTAGTCCAGGCTGGCCTCGAACTCACAGAGATCCGCCTGGCTCTGCCTCCCGAGTGCTGGGATTAAAGGCGTGCGCCACCACCGCCCGGCTGAAATGTAAGTTTTTGAAAAAGATGCTCCAAATATGGAGTGTGTGCTGGCTTTATTAGTGAAACATGCACAGGAAGACTTAAAAAATGTAAAAGTATCACTTTCTGACATGAGATTATATTGTAGATAATTTCATTGTCTCTTAAGAATAAGATTAAAAGGCACAATTATGTTCTATACATCTGTACTTACTTTTAAAAAACTAATATCAAAATTCACCCTTCCTAAACTTCACATTAGATATTTTCTGGTGGCAGAGGTTCTTGAGACAGGATCTCATGTAATGCAGACTGATCATGAACTTGATATACAAACAAAACTGATTTTAAACCCCTGATCTTGGAGTGAGGGTAATCACCAACGTGCTTGGATCTTTTTTATTTAACTAAAAATTTTTTTAAACTTTATTATTTAAAAATTTGTGTGTGCTGGGCAGTGGTAGCACATGCCTTTAATCCCAGCACTCAGGAGGCAGAGCCAAGTGGATCTCTGTGAGTTCGAGGCCAGCCTGGTCTACAGAGTGAGCTCCAGGACAGGAAGCAAAACTACACAGAGAAACCCTGTCTCAAAAAACCAAAAAAAGAAGAAAAAAAAAAAGAAGAAAAAAATTGGTGTGTGTGTGTGTGTGTGTGTGTGTGTGTGTGTGTGTGTGTGTGTGTGTGTCTGTGTGTGTGAATATACAAGGAGTCCAGAAGAGGGTGAGAGGGTATTAGAACTCTTGGAGCTAAGAGTTGCAGGCAGTTGTTTGCTGCTTGATGTGGGTGCTGAGAACTAAACTCAAGTCCTCTAGAAAAGCAAGAGCCCATAACTCCTGAGCCGTCTTTCCAGCTCCAGGCTTGGCTTTCGATAGACTTGAAATCCCTCATCCAGGCCTGGCTCTATGTTCATGGAGCATGGCCTGTACACTTATAGGCTTAGCGTTTGCTTTAATGTTCTAATGTCATTTAATCATTTTTCATTTGGTCCAGCATATTGTATAGCTTGCCGTGATCTTATAGTGAATATTAATCTTCTTCATCTATCTGTGAGCTCTCAGATTTTCCTGTTGTTTAACTAATTACCAAGGCCTGCCCTTTGGTGTTCTAATACACTGTTCTCATAAAAACAAAAATAAAACAAATGTTCATCAACCTCGGTTTTTAGTTCTACATTCACGATATTCCAAGACCCTATAAAACAGTGTTCTTTGAGAACCTTCATGACTTATTCTTAGTTTTCTGTATACCACTTATGTATTTTTAAGCATTGTACATAATTTCTCATCATTTAGGGGACCCAGAAACTTATAAAATGAACAAGAAACTTTTCAAGTGCATTATATATAATGAAGTTGTTAAATAATTTACTCATAACTTCATCTTTTTTCAAACGTTGGTTTACCTTGTGAGCACGCATGCATACATTCTGCCTCTCACTCATACATCAAACCATCATCTTTCTCTTGGAAAAAGAGATAAAAAATATTTTTATTGCTTCTTCAAACATATGGAAGTTTAGCACAATTCTAAATGTGTAACATGAGATTCAGGGGTACTGAAGTGTTAAGCAGAAGGTTTCCTACAGCAAGTTATAGCAATGTATATGTGTGGGGAGGTATATATAACTGTGTGTACAAGGAGAGATGTGTTACAGTTTGCATTTTCACCAAAAATTACATGTCTTCAACACTCTAAAGTAATTTCAAAAGACCACAGAGGCTAAAAAAGAGAGGCATGTACTTATGGCATATAGGAAGTATATGTTAATGAAAATAAAAATAATTTTATCCAGATTGACTTAAGGCATAGCAAACTATTCTTCTCATTGTCTCATTAGTTGATAAAATAATTGGCTTTCAATAATGGGTCATAGTTGAGGTGAAATGCAGTTAAGAAAGAATGTTATATACTGGTCGAGCAATAAAATGTTTGCTTTTCAATTTTTTTTCTCTATATATAATCTTCACTTTTTTTCAGAGTATCACAAAGATTAATGTTACTTCAGAAAATGAAGAATAATTTGGGAGATCAAAACACAGAAAGAGCATGTCTTCTCCAAGCCACTGAAACTGCTTCAAAAAGGAACCTCAGTCTCTTGCAGGTAATTTCCATGACTTGGGTATAGATGTTTTCCCCCTTCCTAAGGTATTTACATGCATCTTATGATTTTGATTCACATTTCTTTGTTTTTAGTAACAAGTAGAATTAATGAGCCAATGTCTTTTTCAAGCCTGTGTTATTGGGCAAATAGCATATGGATTCTTGCTTTTTAAAAATGAAAAAAATTGAAGTTTACATAAGCTAAATATTTTCTGTCAACCAAAAAATCAATGACGACAGGAAGAATATTAAGGTCACCTTTGTGCAAGCAGCAGCAGAAAGTGTATCCTTACATTTTTCATACTCTTCCATTTCAAGGAAGGACCCTGAAGACCTTAAGCTGTGATGTGTTTAGATCCAACTCAAATACTAAACAGCATGAAAACATGAACCATTGATTTTGCCCAGCTAATTCACAGGAAACACACAGAATTCACTGTTCGAGAGCTCACTTCTGAAATGCCTTTGGATAGTTATGGAGAAGGTGGTCAAAGTGTATGATTGCGCAGGGCCTCACCATTTGGCCAATGTGCCCATTTGGAATAAAATCATATGTGTAACATTTTTGGCTGCTTGCTATACTGTGCTTCCAGAATTGTGTGGCTTCATCCATAATTAAAACCCTAGAGTTTGCTTCCATTCAAGCTTCCAAGAGATCCTATGACTAAAACATTTGGTAGTAAGACTATATTATTTAAGTTATAAAGCAGTGTTTTCAGTTTTTTATTGTTAAATATTTTCATCGATAGGCATGATACAGCTATCTTCTATCCTCACTACAGGATAAAGGGAGAGGAAAATTCAGTTATCTTCTCAGCTTCTGGCAGTTTGATCCACAGTAATTTAAGTCACAGCCATAGTGCTACCAAAGCATTCTATATTGCCATATGTCTTACTTGCCCAATGGTGTTAACAATATTTATTTTTAAATGGAAATATATAGGGTATTCTGGAAATTGCTGTGAAAAGTTAGAGAAACTAAATTGGAAGACTTGATTGCTACTACCTGTAGCACGTGATGTGATATTTGGTTTTCAAGTATTTTTCTTTTAATGAGCAAGCATCTGATGAACGCCTAGAGCTAAAGTAGAGATAGCAAACTAAGGATAAACCCGAGTTTTTGCTTCAGGGAGGCTACAGATTAGATAATGTCAGAAGTGTATGAATTCCTCATTACAAATGACCGATACTTTATATGATCGAATACTAAATTATGTGGAATAGAATGGAGACTATGAAGATTAAGAGTAAAAATGTTCTTGAGATCTTCCTTAATATAGAGATTTCCCCCACCTTTCCAAAAATATTTTGCATGAATTTATAATTTGGTGTAATTTCTATGTTCTGAATATTAGACATAATTAATGGGACAGAACTAATGCAAAAATATTCATAGAGACTTCTGAGATGAAGCTAAACCTCATCTGTGTTTAAACAGTCAAGACATTCTACTGGATTCTTAAATAAAAAGAGTCAAGAGTAAGAATCGAATGGCCCTATTGATGTTAGTGGGATTATGATCTAACAAGCTTGAAAATTCACAGGACACAAAGTTGGGTATGTTCAGATGCTGTAATGGTTTGAATAAACAGTGCCCCCTAGAGGTTTCAAGTTAGTGCTGCTGTTTGGGGGAGATTATGGAATGTATAGGAGCTGTAGTGTTGCTGGAGGAAGTATGTCACTGGGGGTGGACTTTTTAGTTTATAGCCTCACTTCAGTTTGCACTCTGCTTCCTGTGTGCAATTGATACGTGATCTCTAAGTTCCCAGCTACAGCCACTTGCTGCCATGCCTTCCCTCCATGGTGGACTCTTACTCTCTGGAACCATAAGCCAAAATAAACTCTTTATTACGTTGCTTTTGTCATGGTATTTCATCTTAGTGACAGAAAAAGTAATTGATACAAGAACCAAAGAACATAAGGCATAATGTATAATGGTAATGTCGTACTAGAAATAGATATCTAAGTTCAAGAAGACTACAGACTTACATAAGAAATAAACAGGAACTGGCAAGCTGACTGCATGTAAAGGCATTTGCCACCAAGCCTAATAACCTAAATTGGATTTCCAGGACCCACATGATAAAAGAGAACTGGTTAAGACAAGTTGTCCTCTGACCTCCATATGTGTGCTGTGGTATGCACACACCCACACATATTCACACGCATGCATGTGAGCACACAGAGACACACAAATGTTTAAGATTTTTTTTTAAAAAAAGATTGATTTTCTACTTAGATGATTCAAGAATAGGGAAATAGGATGGAGAGAAAGCTCAGTGGTTAGGAGCACAGGCTGCTCTTCTAGAGGACCAGGTTCAATCCTCAATGCCCACATGGTGGCTCACAACCATCACTAACTCCAGTTTCAGGGTATCTGACACTTCTGACCCCAGTGAGTTCTTGAACACTCAATCACACACATATACATCTAAAACTAATTTTTTAAGTGAATAGAGAAACTATTCTTGACTTTACTAGAGATAAGGTGAGAAGCTAAAATATAGTCATCAACCCAGTTTCCTTATATTTTTACATTTTATATAAAACTCAGTTTTATATAAAGTTCAGTTTACATTTTATATATATTTATGTAAAGTTCATATTTATATTTTATAAAGTTCTATAGATTGGGTATATGAAGTGCATTCTAAGTTGATTTTCAGATTGTGAGTCCATGGGTCTAATCCATCAGAAGTTCAGGAACATCAGTGGATAAGGAAGGGAGTACACTGGCCTCATGGCCGAAAGCAATGCATTAGGATGCGGGCCTCTCCCTGACCGTCCAAACAGTGAGCAGAAACGAAAAGGGCGGACTGCCTGTCCTCAGAGTGCCCCACTCACTTACTGGGCAGTTGCTGTAGCACAGGCGTGGTGACTGCTGCTAGACATGATTTGGGTCCTGCCTTTGTTTTATACACTTTAATTACACATGCATTCTTAAATCCGGTGTTGCTTTCAATTTTTAAAATTCCAAAGTAGTGTTATTAATGTAGAAATCATTGTATAAAGGTAAGATGAATAGAATTTGATTACTGCAGAATATTGTGTTGAGAGATATTTTCTGGGGAGATGGGGTGCTAGAGAATAAACCCAAGCCATCATGGATGCTAAACACACACCATCAGAGAACTGCTTTCCATTTTCCGAGAGAGCCATTGTGTGTATAGGGGATGAGGGCTAGGAGAGTGGGGTTTATTAAACCTAGGATTTTTTACACATTCTAAGCAAGCATTCCACTGCTGAACTATATCCCCAGCCCTTATTTTACTTTTTATTTATATATGGGGGGGGGCATTCTTATGAAGATCAGAGGACAATTTGTGGAAGACTTTTCTCTGTCTGCTGTGGGTTCTAGAGACTGACTCAGGCTGTCTGGTTCAGCCACAAGTGCTTTTTCCCCCTGAGCCATCCACTGGCCTCCTTTTCATTTTGAAATAAGAGTCTGAGTTTCCTAGACTTCTCTTAAACTTACTCTGTTGCCTAGATAGGTGCAGTAAGTGTGCAAAAAGTAATCCTCTTGCCTCAGTCTACTGTGTAGCTGGGATTACAGACCATGCCACCAGGCCCAGGTTATGGGAAAGACATTAAATGGCACATATATTACATTAGATTCTTATTGAAAGGTTAAACATTCTTTTTAACATTAAATGTTTTTCAAAGGTTTAAAAAATAGATAAAAGTGAACTCGACCTCCCCCCTCCTTTCCATTCAACCTTTCCATTATGCCCAAGCACTGCTCAGAACTATAAAAACTACCAGTCTGGCCTATTATTTAAAGAATAGTAAACCATAGTGTAACTGCCTTTGATATTTTGTCAAGAACAGGGTAGGTTACCTCTAGGGCAGGCACATTTGAGGTACCTGCAGCTTACTGATGTCTTCTTTAAAATGTGTGTGGTAACAACGATACTAACACAAGCATGACCTCTCTTACTACCCGTTTGTGACGTTCCTTAGGTCTTCTGACTGGTGTAACGAACATTAACCAGGAATCAGCCTCTTTTGAAAAGGATGATTGACCAGCATTTTATATTGTATGGGTGTAACCTTGAAAACACCGAATATTACAAATTGAACAAAACTAGTATATTAAAGATTTAAGAGTCAACAACATTCCTATGTCTAGCTAGAAAATGCATAAAATCAGATTTATATTTGCAACAAAATTCTAAGCTACTTGGGCACTCTTTCCTGCTATTCATGATAGTATAAAGAGATTTATTACACTAAAATGTGATATTTAAGAGAAAATTTAAGAGGAGACAATAATCTCATTCTCGCTGGAGAAGCTCATTATTTACCTGCAGTCACTCATTACTAAGTTATTTATACATATATTTTGATCCCAACAAAATTTGCAGTGAATGTGATAACATTTCTGTAAAGTCATCTGGGGGAAAATAAACTAGTACAAATAAGCAATGTGAAAGCAAGTGAGACCAGCCAGAGGGAAGGAAGGGAACACGGGGAAGAGATGAATAAAGACAAAATATAGTGACATGTATGTGGGGAAATGCCCTAACAAAGTCCATTATTTTGTATGCTAACTTTAAAATTATTTTTTTAAAGGAAGCATAAAGAAACAACTAATCCATCAAATATTTGACAGCTTAGTCAATGAACTACATGTGATGGAAGACAGTCCTGAGTCCAGTATCCGTCAACAAATTGACGTCACTAAGAGTTAGGAAACGCAGGCTGAGTGACTTTCCCGACTAGTGTTAAGTAGAATATCAGTCTTAAAAGCAAGCATAATTGGTGTGCATTTGGAGGAGAGGGAGGATTTTGTTAGTGTAAATACTTCTGTATTATAAAATACACACCCTCCTCACCTCCCACAAAGCTCAGCCTTCCACAGAAAAACCATGCTGTGGTTATAGAAGTTCAAGCCTCAAGGACAACATAGGATAGGGAAGCATTACGATCAGGAATAGAGTGCGTGCCTCTACTGAGGGCAGCCTAGAAGCCATCATGGAGCAGTTGGCAATTAAGTAGGGA